CTCAGCCATTAAGCAGATGGCACCTCATTCTTAGATTTGGCTACATACATGGCACCTTTTATCCCAAACCTTAGTCCCCATACTGCTTCCTTAAGAGAGCTAATCAAGAAAGGAAATAAGTTTGTCTGAAATTCATCCCATCAAGAGGTTTTTGAAAAAATCAAGAGCTCCATTACAAATGAAATTACACTAACATATTTTGATCCTAAGAAGGAGACAGTGTTACAAGTTGACGCCTTGACAAAGGGTTTGGGAGCTACCCTCATGCAAGAAAACAAGCCCGTAGCATTTGCCACCAAAGCGTTGACCAATGTTGAGTCAAGGTATGCAAACATTGAACGAGAACTGTTAGCTGTTGTTTATGGATGTGAAAAGTTCCATACCTATTTATATGGTCGCAGTTTTATTGTTCAGTCTGACCATAAGCCACTTGAAACTATTCATATGAAACACTTGACAGCAGCACCACCACGCTTACAACGCATGCTGATGCGTTTATAACCATACATTATCTTGATTATCACCCGAAGGGAAAGATGCTATTCCCGACATGGATGTCCAAATACACGAAGTATGCCCGCAATTTAGCGATGAGATGCTAGAACGGATCCGTGAGATTACCAAAACAGATCCCGAGCTTCAGGCATTGAAAGAAGTCATTCACACTGGCTGGCCCACAAATATCAGACAAGTTCAAGAATCAGTCAGGCCATATTGGACCTTCCGCGAAGAGATCACCGAAGAAGATGGCATTTTAATGAAAGGTCATCGCATCATCATTCCACAACAATTACAACATGACATTCTCAATTAGCTTCATGCGGGGCATCAGGGTTCTGAGAAAACCAAGTTAAGAGCAAGAACTTGCGTATATTGGAAAGGGATGAACAACGATATTGACAGCGGTTGCAGGTCGTGCAACACATGTCAAGAGATGCAAAACAGCCAAGCGAAAGAGCCGCTGATCCAGACAGAAGTACCGCCAGGACCATGGATTACCGTCGGTACAGATCTGTTTTATTTGGATGGTTCAGAATATCTATTGGTTGCAGATTATTTCTCGATATACCAGTTTGTAAGGAAAATACTGAAAGGACAGAGCAGTAGTAAAACAGTGGTCGTTTTACCAAGCAAATTTTCAGTGAGCACGGGATCCCGAGAGCGGTAAGATCTGATAATGGTCCCCATTTTGAAGGGCAGGCATACAGAGAATTCGCGAAGGAATATGGTTTCCAGCACATTACAAGTTCTCCACACTACCCCAGAAGCAATGGCTTTATCGAAAGCCAGGTAAAAAGTGCAAAAATGGCTATGAAGAAAGCAAAAGCAACCAATACAGACCCACTGATGGCTTTGTTGTGTCTAAGAGCAACCCCAAAAAATGACAAGCTTTCATCACCAGCTGAGATGCTAATTGGCCGACCGATCCGAGATCATTTGCCAAGGAAAATTTCGATGGACAGAGAAAACGAAGAGTTCTCGTAGATTGATTTAAAGGCAAAATGTTCAAAAGTTTTACTATGACCGAAATACAAAGGCATTACCTGTATTAAATTTGGATAAAAAGGTGAGCATCCAAAACCCAGTAACACAGTGTGCTGGGAACGTGCAGAAATAAAGGAGAAGATTCAAGAAGTACCTCAATCCTACATCGTGAAGAAATCAGACGGATGAGAAGTAAGGAGAAATCGAGTACAAATACGAGAATTTCCCCAAGAACCAACGCACGTGATGCAAGATCAGACAAATCAGCAATCCAAAGAAATACGTGAGTTCAGAGATAATGCACTGAGTCATGAGCTAGCAGCTCCCATTGACAATCATAATAACTATCACTATACAACGCGGAGTGGTAGAACAGTCAAACCTCCAGTATGGTTAGAAATGTAGGACAGGATTGGTATGAAATAGCATATTGTAATTATTAGGACTCTTATTAATATGTAGTCTATAACTTTAAGAATTACTATTAACATTTAATTATTTGCTTTAAAAAAAACTTTTAAAAAAAAAATATATATATGTTAGTATTACTGTTCTAATTAGAGAAGGGAGGATTTAATGATATTATATATCCGGTCATAGCTTCCGGTATAGACAACCTCCCACGCAGCTGTCTTAGGTGTAAAGGCTGTGCATATTTTTGAATATAGACTTATAGTGTTTATCGCTTCAACTTGATATTAATACAGTTACCTACAGCTGGAACGAAATAGACTAAGATACGAAGCAGTAATTTCCGCAAAGTAAGAAATTGGAGTAATTTCCGCAAAGTAAGAAATAAACTCAGGGCAGTAATTCGAAAAGCGTGGGAAACTTTCATGAAAAAAGCGCTCTCATCAACTAAATCGAAAGAAGTTTGGCAGGTCATACATAGAGTACTAAAACCTAAGCAGCCCCTAAGATTTGATCCAGAAAAACTTAATGCCCATTTTGCTAAGACTGCTAAGAGAACACTAGACACAAATGCAAAGGCTATGGATGAGCTACTAAACTTCATTGACAATCTACCGGCAAGTAAATCTACTAGAACTTTTAATGTAGGAAAGGTCTCCTCCAAAGAAGTCTTCCTTGCTATTAAGTCTATTAAAACAGACAGCTCTACAGGTCATGATCAAATACCGGCAATTTATTAAATTGGCTGCCGAACATCTTGCTAGCCCATTAACGTCTATAATTAACTGCTGTATTGACAAATCTGTTTTTCCTAACCCGTGGAAGATTGCTAGGATAAGCCCTATTCCAAAAGTTAATAAATCTGAGAACAAGTTTAGACCTGTATCAATACTACCTGTTATGTCAAAAGTTCTGGCAAGACAAATTGCCAACTATGTAGAAAATGAAGCTATTCTCCCAGAAAGCATGTCCGGTTTCCGTATGACCACTCTGCGACCACGGTGTTAATGGGTATACAAGACGATTTGATACATGTGATAGAATCCCCCAGGGGTCGATTCTAGGTCCAATGCTATTTAACTTATATGTTGCTGATTTGCTGGCTGTTTTGCCACCAGACTTATGGAGTTTTCAATATGCTGATCATACAACCTTGTATGCAAGCTGCAATGTTCCTTCCATCACATGTACAGCCAGTAAAGTCAATGCGTCATTAGCCAGCCTGACTATATGGTCAAAAAATTCAAATCTAGTACTTAATCCCAAAAAGACGAAAAGTATGGTGATATCTACATCCCAATTAGCTCGCGTTCATTCACTTGATTCGCGGGAAATAGGGTTGGTGATTTCCGAAATTCCAATAGAGCGAGTTTGAGAATTCAAGCTCTTGGGAGTCTATTTAACTGAACATTTAAAATGGGATAAACACATCAACTATTTGTTGTCATGTTATGGGGCACTACACACGCTTTGCAAGTTGAAAAACTTTACCGACTTTAAACAAAGAAAACAACTAGTTGAGACACTAATTCTCTCAAAGATGGATTACTGTGATATCGTCTTTCATCCTCTCCCACAGTATCTGTTGAAACGTTTACAAAGGCTACAGTTTGCTGTTGCGAGTTTTGTCACTGATACTGCTGTTATCTTGAAGTTGAGTTGGCTTCCCATTAAAGAAAGAAGAGATTTTTCACTTCTTAAGAATGTTTTTAGAGCTATGACTGATAATCTATGGCCATTGTATCTAACACTACAGGTTGTAAAGAACAACCGCTGCCTGAGATCCAGTGCTTATACAAGACTTGTTGCCCCTTCAGAAGAAGGGACCTTTCAAGATGCAGCTGCCTCCCTTTTTAACAACCTACCTCCTGACATAATTGAATGCAGAAATTATAATCACTTTTGCAAATTAACAAAATTTTTAAAAGACAGAGCACAAATATCATAAGGAGTGCTCAATCTAGATTATTGTAAATGAATTTTTATACACTATTTATAACTTTCACTATTTTACACAACTTAGTTATATACCGTATTTTCTTAATCTATCGTCTTATTATATATGTTTGTAATGGCAGAAGAAGAGCCACTTGTAGAAATACTGTCAATAAATCCATTATGATTATTATTATATCATTATTAGTAAGCTGAAACCGAAGAAAAGAAAGGAGTGAACACATAAAGAAGCTAAGTGAACATTATAAACAGTTAAATAAGTTTGTTATTAATAGTGTGAAACAATGTGTATAACATCATTGAATTTCAAAGGTGTCAGTTTTTTTTACTCACCCTGTATGGGATAACATTTGCCTTCTTATACCCTAAAGCTTTGTCTTCAAGTGAAGTAAACAAGTTGACCCATGCTTTGGCCTTAATGAATAATACAATATAAAATTTTTAAAGTGTGTTTAAGAGCATACACCTCCTAATTGGTGCATATCAAACGTGCATGAAACAAGAGGTTGAACTTGAAACACAATCTAATTTAATCCCTTTCCCCCCAATGTTTCATGCCCATTCAAGCAGATTGGGGGATTATTCTTTAAATAGATAAAAAATGTACTCTGTATTTACCTTAAAATACTATAGGACCTTGCTATCATCACCAGTTCTGGCTGTGAGCATGCTGTAAAGGTAATTGAAATTCTAGACGTGATAGAGAATATACTGTATATAAAATAGCTGCTGCTGATAAAAAATGCAATTTGAAATATATCTCTGATAAGCATGCATTAAACCAATCTGGTTTATGGTTTGTGCTTATAAGACCTATCTTTCTACAGGAGATCACAACAGTGATCCACACCTGCATTAATGGAATGATAAAATCCTTACAATCCAGAGCCTTACAATAGTTGAACAGATGCTTGCTTCCACGTTGTGTTCAGCTTGAAGTTTCTGTGGTAGAATTTAACAGTATCTTCCTATCTGAGCCCATGAAACTTGTTGATTCATAGGTCTTACTTTCCTTCCATCAGCATTTTTTCCCTCCCAAATTGAGAATGTTATGCCACATCTAACAGCACACAAGAGAGCTTTTATGAGTTTACTTCTCCTCTGGTTTGGGGGTTTATTAATATTATCTTTGGCGTCAGCTCTTAAAGGTGGGTTACAGTCCCTTTTGCACATGAACGGTAAGAGTGTTTTGAGTAGCCTACTCATGTTACAATCATAACACGTTCCCAGTCCCAATAGCGTAATAACAACGCACGGCCGCCTTAGTAATTTCTCTGACCTACTGGAAGGAGTGATGGCAGATTCTGATGCTCCAAGTTCGAATATAAATCCTTCCGAAATAAGCCGTCACACTAGGTCTGAGGCAAGAAGAGAATACGACAAAAAAAGAGACGCATCAAAAGTCTGTTTATTTTATACTTTCGAGAGGTGGAGAGCGTTTAAAGAAGAACATAAGCTCAAAACAGATCAGCATGTTGCGGAGTGTCTGCTTGATCATTACGCCGTGAGAAACATATTATGGTAAGCGTAATGATGTATAACTAAACCTTTATGATTATTTTCTTTTTCCTTATGATTTTACATGTTCTTTAATGCTTTGTTAGTAATGTAGAAACGCAAACAGAGAACGCTACGACAATGTGGCCTTTGTCAACTGCGGGAGAACAATCACTCAGCATGTGTTCGCCAGGTAACAACAACGTCCTTGTTCTATTTTATCATGTTTTAATACGTATTTTCAACATCCTTTCTTTATATGTAGTGAAGTCATCAGCACCCTATATGTCACTGAGATCAAGTCGAGGAAGATTGACTCAGTCTGACCCTGAATCTCAAGAGGATACTCTTACATTGTCTTTTAGGTTTGTTGAGCATAATCCCGTTATATTTGCATTATTTGCTTACAAAATTTCCATAACTTTATGCATTATTTGTGTTTGTATATTTTGATACAGATCAAAGGAAGACCCAGACATGACTTTGACCGCTAGCGAGGGCAAAGCAAATATGTCGTCGACAGGTAGTGAAAAAATGTATATTCACAATAAATGTATGTTGTTAACTTGATACACAGTGTTAAGCGTTAGACTTTTTTAATGTATTCTATTTTTTCAATTGGACCTGTCTAGTAACATCCTCAACACCTAAATCTAGTCGTCGAAGATTGGTCCTGTCACAACAAAACAGTCCTTCATTGTCTTTGAGGTTTGTTCATCAAAATATGCTTTGTGATTTGTGCGTTTGCTCAAAATCATTATTACCTATTTTTTCCCTTTGGTGCCATTCATTTTAATACACCCCTTCATTTTAATATCACCCCAACACCCAGGGGGTTAGAAAAACATTTCTGCATATATAAATGCCCCATTGAGTAGTTAAACGAAGCAATTTATCAAATGTGGTGTGTGTACAGACAGTAAAGTATATTGGCTGGTTGACAGTATACGGTATACTTATTGTTTATTCAGATCTGGAGAAGAAACGTTGTCTGCCAGCAGTGAGCAAAGTAATGATGATGATTTGTCAAAACCTACTCGTCAACCAGGAAATGTACTTTCTCCTAATGATGATGTTCCACCGTAAGTATACACTTAGTTTTATTTTACATATTTATATTTATGTATGTACATACTGTACACCATGCATACACTAAATTAAATTATTTTTAATATTTTTTAATTTTAGATTATATCCTGCTGTTGATGAGCCATTAGCAGAGGACATACTCAATGCCACCATAAATGGGCATGAAGGAGATGAGCCTGAAGATGAAAATGATGCACAAGGAACGAAGACCACTACCTCATCAAAATACATCTCCACTGTACAAGAGATATCACCACAACAAGCCATCAAGATGGAAAAGTGTATTGTTTTCACTGACACTGTTATGTCTTTACTCATGTCTTTTCATGGGAGTGAATGTAAACGACAAGATTGTGGCCGGACATTGCATTATAGGAAGACCTATGTGGGAACCTGCCTTGTGGTATCCTGGGGGTGTCAGTCTGGCCATGTTGGGGGAAGATGGGCAGCTCAACCATCTTGCAACAAAATCAGAGCAGGAAATCTTATGCTTGCATCTGCTTTGTTGTTATCTGGAAACTCATACACCAAAGTGGGGTTGATGTTCAATTTCTGCAATCTGCAGTATTTTTCATCAACGCTGTTTAATCAGTATCAGCAATTGTACATCATCCCTGCAATCAATGAGTTCTGGGAGCAACATAAGCAACAAGTTTGGGAGAGTAAGCAAGGGACAGAAACTGTGTTGAGTGGGGATGGTAGGAATGACTCACCTAGTCACTCAGCACAATACTGCACTTATAGCCTGGCAGATATGGAAGATAAGTCCATTCTCCAAATGAATTTATAATATGACATTTATAGTACGCGCGTGCTGATTGGTCGAGAAGCGTGTTTCTATAACTGTATAGAAACACGGAAATTTTCCCGCCGAACTTGACAAGCGAAGCGATGTAATGAGAATTTGTAATTGAATCGAATTATAATATTTGTACAAAATCTTTTTATTGAGTTATATTATAAAAGAAACAGAAAACATTTTTTCCTGTGTTTCTATACAGTTATAGAAACACTTGTGGGAGTTTGGGAGAACTCGAAATAACGTGGAAAAACTCGCCCTATGGGCTCGTTTTCCCACTGATTATTTCTCGTTCTCCCAAACTCCCACGCGTGTTTCTATAACTGTATAGAAACACGGAAAATGTTTTCTATTTCTTAGGTTGTGGATGTGAGGGAAGCAGGAAGAAAGAGCAATAACATGGAGAGAATTGGTTTTGAAAGAGGGATGGATGTACTGCTTACATCACCAATCATTGTGAAGGAGGTTGTTACAGATGGTCACCTTGAAATTGCAGCATTAATGAGTAAGTGTCAGATCATGAAATGACAGTGACAACATTCCAGTTTTTTAAAAATTTATATAATATATATAAATATGATGTATATAAATTATGTTTTTTCCTATAATTTAGAGAGAGAAGAAAAGTACAAAAATGTTTTACATCAGAATGATGTTTGGCATGGAGGAAAAAGCCTTGTTAAGAAAATCAATGCTGTATGTATTCACGGGCTAAATACACACCACTGTGTAATACAAAATTATGAATTATCTAAACCAATGTACCATGTACATTGTACAAACTAATGTATAATATGTGATGTACATGCATATGATATTTAATTTATAAATGCTTTGTTTTCCAGGCAGCAAAATCGAAATGCAATGAAGATCTCACACTTTGGGCACCATCTATCCGAAACCATTTCTGGCATTGCTCAAAAACCTGTGAGAATGATATGAAAAATTTAAAGGCAAGATTTTGCACAACTGTTCAAGAAATATAATTACATAAACTGTTTAGTTTTAGGTTTTTTCCATATTTATACTGTGATCAGGACTCAACACATAATTCAGGTTGCTATTGTTTAATAGGACAAATGGGTAGGGATATTACATCATGTGGTGGATGAACATGAATGGGTGTTGGAAGAAGGCATCAATGAAGGGAAGTGTGCGCATGATCCACTGAATGAGGTGGAACGAAGAAAACCGTGGTTGAAGAAAGACTCCCCTGCACACAAAGCCCTTACCAAGATTGTTCTAGATACCTGGTTCCTGAACACACTTGGATATTACACCAACTTCAGGTATTGTACTGATGTTGGTTTGGGCAAGTTAAGAATCGTATGATGTAACTATCAGCATAACTCCCATTTATCAATCTGTTGTCTAATTATTGTTTTATTTTTCTAATTTGAAGACATACTGGCTTTCTAGAGTCATTCCACAACCTTATTTTGATGTATGCTCCTAAACGCCATGCCTTCTCGTGAGTATAAACAATTGAGTGTAGTTAAAAATAATATTATGTTTTAAATACAATTACCATTTTTTATTGCTTGAGCAAATTTAATTACATGTACTGTATGTAACTAAACAGTGGATAAATGGATTTATTATAAATGGATATATTTGATATTTTTAGATACACTGTATACCGGGCCCGAAATCAACTTGCTGCACTAGACCATAACCATCACAGGCGAAGAGCACATGCAACCACTGCTGATGGTCAGCCAAGGTAACATAATGACAGTCTAATCTTATAATAACTTTAATAATTCTACCTATTTGTTATTTAATTTGTAATTTATGTACTTACTACATGAAATAAACCTAAGTTTGTTATTATGATAGATTTGGGCGCAAGTTCAGTAAAAGAACTCAGTAAAAGAAAGTGATGGTGCCATGTACGTGTTCTTGTGCCAAAACAGTACACTTACATTCCAGATCTTCTGCTGAAGGTTTTTGAGAAGAGAATAAATTCTAAGGGAACTGTAGACCAAAGAATTGGTTTGGTAAGTGAAGACCCAAGAAGGATTGCTCCTAACATTGCTGCTATTCAACCACCTTCAGTAAAATCACTTGTTGAAGCTCATCAATCAAGATTTTAAAGTCTCTCACGTCACAAAAAATCAGATGAGTGTCCGGCACCTAGATATAGTCATAATGGGTAGATGGAGCTCATAAGCCCTGGAAGGCAGTCCATCTAGGAGAAGGAAAACTCTGATTTCAAACCCCCAGATCCCTCTTTTGGGTCAGGCTGTCCATGTCGGAATATTTCCTAGGCATGCTGATGAGCTCTGATATAGAGCGAAACAGCCATACATTTAGTAACTTTTCTCCATCTGAAGGGGACATTATAAATTGACATAGAAATTGTTCGTGTATGTTTTAAAACATGAAATTTCTATTTGTTTTTCTTTCAGTCAATAAAATGCAGTCAATAGGCTGCATTAAATGATGACCAGCATAGTAGCTTTTAGCAACAACAAGTCGTACAGTCCCTTGACTATTAATTGTGATAAACTGAAAGCATTAATGGTCAACTTTTGTACTTTACTGTAATGATTTGTGTCTAGAGCCAGACTGTTTTAATAATAAGTCAATAAAAAAAGCTACATGTGTGAGAATTTCTTGTTAACAAGACTACCGGACACCATGTGATCACTGGTAATGTGCGGTAACAAATGAAATTAAATTAGGGGTGTATATTATTCGACAATCTTTGAGTCTTTCCACCTCCCTTCTCTTTGGCTTCGATTTCCTACCCTTTTTTTCCCCCCAATTTTCCTTTACTTTTGGATTTTTTTACTCTGATATTCTTCCCTAGACCTTTTGATTCTCCCCCTGGGTGGGGGGGGAATCATAGAAAAATATACAACCCCTGAATCAAATAAAACCATAATTCAGGCAAGCCAATTGCAAATTGTCTACTGTTAAGCCAGTTTTCCACTAGCAGATTGTTCTTAAACTTTCAAGCTAGAGCCAACTGAAATTAAATTGACTAAGACAAAAAACAATATCAAGCCATACAAAAAAATAGCTAGTGAAAAACTGGCCTTAAGACAAAATACAATATTACAAAAATTCATATATATCTAAGGGTGCAGGCCTATATCCAGTGTAAATACCATTGGGTGAGGGGTAACGAGCACGTATTGCTACTACACAGCAGCTTGGAACAACTCTTCTGTTTCCTCGTCCCAATCTTCCATGCTGCCATAGTACATATTGTCTGTATGCTGCATGGCGGAAACTCTGATTATTTCTGACATTATTCAGAACCAAAACATCCTCCCTATACCTCATTGCAATCTCCAGAACATTGCCATTTAAGACCACCTGTTGAAAAATATTTGTTCTGGAGATGCATGGACGTCTAACTGTTGCACAGCATCTGTTCTCCTCTTGGGTTGGCATAGCAACGCAGTGTCCACAATTACACCAATTGGGTGCATCGTTGTCTGGATCTGGCCTTGGTGGTTGATTTCCACCTGCCAATTCACCGTTAACCACATCAGCAAATGCTGCTGGTTGTCGTCTTAGAAGTTCCAAAGCTAATCTTCTTAGAGCATCTACTTCCATTCCTTCTATTAGGTTCTAAAACGTCAATTAGTGTAAATAGAATGTGAAGATTGTAACACTGGTAACACAAAGTAATGTTTTTTCATTGGATAGAACAGCTTTCAATTAAATTAAATACATTTTGTCAGATGATTTTGGCCACTTTGCAGGAAAAGAGCTCTCGAAAGGATTCATCGTATAAATGATTGCATTATATAATCGCTTGAATTTTGGAAACCAGGTAAATTCAGATCTTATTATTGAATACACATTGGAAACACCTTACCCTAGTGAAAACATTTTGTTAAAAATTAGTTTTCTTACCAACAACTGCTGCTCATGATTGGCTTGATTTTCAGCAGCATCTGGCTCTTCATTTAAATGCCTTAATCCTCGACCTCTTCCTCGACCTCTTCCACGACCCCTGCCACGACCTCTGCCACGACCTCTGCCACGACCTCTGCCACTGCCTCCAACACTGCCTCCTCTTTGTCTCTGTTCTTGTCCTCTACCTCTCCCCCTTGCACAACCTCTAGCTCTTCCACGCCCCATTGCACGTCCTGTTCCACGCCCTCTTACATGTTCTCTTCCACTTCCATATTCTCTAGCATCTCCCCTCCCATTCTCATCACTCTCTGTCATGTCATCTGGATCACTTTCCATCATGGAGAAATCAGAATCCTAAAACAGTATATAATGATGGAATTGAATATTGCATTTATGATGATGCAAAATCTATTATATTTTTACTAACACAAATTTTACACAATTACATATTTACAAGTATACCTTTATAGCACAAAAGATTTTATAACTTACTGCGTCATCACTATCACTCTCTTATGCTCTTCGGTTGTTCATACACGACCCGAAATATTCCCCGTGACACGCACTGGAACAAAAGCTATTCATGCTTTTACACGGGCAATAATTCCGCCCTCTTTCACGGAGACAGGCGCCGCGACAAGAACATGTAGTAATATTGTCTACGTTAGGAATTGCAGCTGCACTCTCGACCACATTTGCTTCGAATTCATCCAACGATAAGCTTGCTTCGTGTGCTTCTGCCATGACTGGAACAACGATACTGGCAACATGTTTCGACGGAAAAATACCGCATGAATTTCATGCTTAGATTTAGTAACACTTTCAAAGTAATTACTTCCAAAGGTAAACACAGTGATGATCGGAACTTGCACCTTCGTAATTTCGCCGCTCGAGCTGTGGTATGTGACTATTGTAAGGCCAGGTGCCACATAAAGTGTGCGAATGTGAAGCCTAGCGAATTCAAAGCAATCCAGCAGTCGCCTGACAAAATTTGGACCTGCCCTGGCTGTGTTGTTAACTCTTTGAGAACTGAACTCTGCCGTTCCATGAGGTCGGTGATGTTCCCCTTCAAGAGTTATTTAATGAGACAGACAGAATCGATCAAGATGAGGTTCAGGATTCACTGGTTTTGGAAAAGGAACGGGACTTTGCTAGTTCCTCAGACGCTCGAACGAAGTACAGCTCTAATTTCCTGATTGCCCACCTGAAAATCAACAGCTATCAGAACAAATTTGAAGAGATGAGGGAAATCATACAAAAATTGAGAATACAAGCGGCAATCATTAGTGAGACAAAGATTGACTCCTCCTACCCTGATGCACAATTTGCTATCCCTGGATATATGTTGTGTCGTAATGACAGAAAGAAAGGGGGAGGTGGGATTCTGGCTTACATATCATCCAATGTGATCCATAAACGGCTGAAAGTTCCTTCTCGCTACAAAACAATGGAGTCCCTTGTGTTAGATATTGAGCTCAAAGGAAGACACATCTTTGTAGCTGGACTATATCGCTCTCCTAAACCCCTGGCTGGCTCATATCAACAGCAATTGGAATAGGAGTTTAATAATTTTTGCAATTGGATCTCCCTGCAAGGTCATGTTTTTGCATTACTAGGTGATCTGAACCTTGACAGACTTCGCCCAGATAAGCCAGAGGGAAGGTTGTTGATTGATATGGAAGAGACCCATGGGCTTGAGGGCTTGATCACTGAGCCAACTAGGATTCAGACAAGAGCTGGTAGGACCACCAGTACCCTTATTGATGTTATTTTGACCAGTGAACCACAATTATTCGTCCAAACTGGGATATATGAGCCAGGGCTTAGTGACCACCCAATTGTGTATGGCTTAATGCAGGATAAGGCTGCATAAGCTAAGCCTAAAATTATAAAATTCCGGTCAACCAAGAACTTTGATGAGGGAAAATTTCAAGAACACCTTGAATCTGCACCTTGGCATGTTGGGGAAATATTTGATAGTGTAGAAGACCAAGTTGGCTTCACAAGCACTCTCTTAACAAATATTGTTGACGAACACATGCCTTTTAAACAAATGCGTGTCAGGGGTCTCGACGTTCCATATATGACATCAGAATGGAAGGAAGCAATACGGGCAAGACGAAGAGCTGCTAGGCGATATAGAAGGACAAACTCTCAAGAGGACTGGAATAACCTTAAAAAGTTGCGGAATGAGGCCACAAGATTGCGCAGAAAAGCTATCAAGAATTACTGGAAAACAAAGGCAGACAAGCTCAAGAGTAAACCACAGGACTTTTACAAAACCTTTACATCTTTCTTGTCATCTAAGTCTAAGTGCATGCAGGCCTCTGATATAAAGCTTAACATTGATGGACAGGCTAGTAGCAACAGAAATGATATTTCTGAGGCTTTTGGAGAGTACTTCGCAACAATTGCCGATGGAATTGGTCAAGTGGATACAAACAAGAGCTGCATGAATGATTTTGACAATCATAATAGTGTGATGGCTATTCGGGCTGCCAACAAGTGTGACAGTTTGAACTTTTTCTTTCGTAGTATAGAACCCTGTGAGGTTAAGGATGGACTGGAAAGGATGGACTGGAAAGGCTGAACCCAGGCAAGGCAATGGGCTGGGATCTTCTTCCCCCAAAAGCATTTAAAGCCGGGGCTCACGAGCTGGCTGTGCCACTTGCTAATCTGTATAACACCTGCATTAAGGAGGGGCACTGGCCAGAAGACTGGAAGAAAGGTGAATGGACTCCGGTTCACAAGAAAGAGGACAAACTACTAAAAGAAAATTATCGACCTGTCACTGTACAAATTGTTATCAATAAGATCTTTGAGCAACTTCTGTCTGGTCAAATTACTGGCCACTATAATAGTAGTTTGTGTGACCATCTGACTGCATACCGGAAGAGGCACAGTTGCGAGACAGCACTAGTATACTTGGCTGAGAGCTGGAGGTAATCATTAGATAGTGGAGATTGTGTTGGGTTGCTGTCAACTGATATGAGCAAGGCTTTTGACTAGGGATGAGCCGATTGCAACGTAGGCCGATTAGCCGATTCGATTAATCGGTGTCCGATTAGGTGACATAATCGGCCGATTGATCGGCCAAAGCCGATTATTCCGGCGTGAGAGCAGACTTAAGTCTGAAGGCCAATTTTCACGCTGGGGTCCGGAAAATTTTCGGCTGGATAAGATCGGACACTAACATACAGGAGGTTTTTTAATTTTTTTTGTGAAAAAAAAAATGATGAAAGTATGAAACTAATGACTTTCAGTCTATTCTTTAACACAAAGAAAACTTTCCTGTCCGTTCCTACATCGTGTGAAAAATTTTCTGAGTGGGAACTAGCTTTAGACCTTTAATGTCTCATAAGTGAATTGCACACACAGTTCAATAAATTAAAGTAATTTTATTAATCATATTATTGAATTGGACTCAACATAAGTGCAAGATTTTTCACCAAATAATTAGTAGATAATATTCTCAAAAAAAACAACTGTAATACATTAAGTCAATTACAAAACAGGTAAAGTTCAACAAATGGCAATAATAAAGGCATGCCTTGAAACGGTCAAATGTTGAATGGAAATTGAAAAAGTTAACAGTTAACGTCTTTTGAGTCTCTTGGGTTGAATTTTAATATACAGATATCCCATTTTTCCCCAGTGAGAAAACTAATTGATATTGAATACTATGCAGTATGCAACAGTTAGGGTTCCAGCAAGTTTTGACCCATTATTTACTAGTAATCAAAGTTTAGTCTTGGTAAATTATGGTGTAAAAACAAAAGACTTTCCGATTTTGATGGGTTTAGCCGATTTCTGCTATCTTCAATGGTATTACCGGCTTCACTGAAAATACGCTCTGAGTACACGCTTGAACAAGGCGCACTCAAAAATTTCTTTGCCACTTTGTAGATGTTTGGATAGGCCATTTTTTTTGCTGCCCACCACTTGTACGGGCATTCGTCTTTGGCTAAGAGTGGCAGCATCAGAAAAGCATCAACTTCTTTCTTCTCAGATGGTGTTGGATTCTTTGTATCTTCAGAGACAGAAGCAGACGCTATTGATGAAGCAACCAATTCATCAAAGCACGCCCAAAAAATCATTTCTGTTCTCCTTGCGTGCTGATATTTCAGCATTTTCAGGGGTGGCTGTTGTGCTTTCTTCCAGCTCTTCTGGTTCCGCTAGCCTTTCCACTTCTTGCAGAAGCAAGTTGTGCCCTTGGGATGCTGTGAAGGCGGTCTTGAAACGGGGATCGACAGTGGTCGCGATGATGTAATTCTCATTGGCAAGGATCTGCTCGAAACGGGAAGTCACAGCATCATGAAACTCCTGCTTCATTGTGCGCACACCTGTGGATTTATCTCCGTCATCCTTAGCTAAGAAGTGTTTGAGAACTGAAACAGCAGGAATTACTGCTGAAATAGGGGCATTGTTGGAGCTCAGGAGAACGGTATCTTCTTCGAATGGTTGAAGCAAACGGATAACTTTCTCCATCAATTTCCATTCATTGGCCTTGGTGTTTGAATGTCATGCTCCGTTGCATATAGTACAATTGCATTTTTCATCTCGAGCAATCGCTGAAGGAGATAATACTTTGAATTCCACCGTGTGGGAACATCCTGGATTAGCTTCTTCCTAGGGAGGTTTAATTCTTGGATCTTGGAGAGTCGATCACATGCCAATGCCGAGTGATTGAAATGTGTAACAACTCTCTTGCTTCTGGCGATCATATCAGAAACGCTTCGCTGTGACATGATGCCATCCTGGATTGCGAGTTGTAAAGTATAAAGAAAGCAAGGCCCTCTCGTTAAACCAACTATTTCAATTCCACTGACCATGTTTGCTCCATTGTCAGTGATTACCATATGGCATTTTGATGCAGGTATTTCCCATGTTTCGAGCATGGCTTCAAACTTGTTGGCAATTGCAGGTCCAGTATGACTTCCCGAGAACAGGCTCGAGTGCAACACAAAAGATTGCATGGAACTGATGGAAGGAACCACATCTGATACCCAATGGGCTGAAAGACTGATGTACGAATTGTTTGTGTGTTGGCAAGTCCATATATCAGAGGTGAATGAGATGCTTTCACTTTCACAAAGCTTTTCCGAGGTGGCTTTCTTTGCCCTTTCGAAGAGATTCGGGATGACTTTGTCGCTGAAGTGAAATTGATTTGGTAGTTGATAGAACGGAGACACATGTTTCATGAGCCTCTGGAATCCTAGGTCTTCTACCATCAAGAAGGGCTGGTTGTCTAGTGCTATCATCTCGCCAATCAACTGGGTGACTCTCTTTGCGGCGCTGCTGTTGATGTCCCATATACGGGCTTTATCAAAGCTTGTTTGAATTGACATTTGGCTTTTCAATGCCTTCCTTGCACTACCAGATGTCTCGCCATGGGATAGAGCTTCGCTTGATCTTTTTTTAGCTTCATCCTTGGCAGACAGTTCGTGAAACGATAAGGGATGCTTGCTTTGAATGTGGTTTCGGAGATTGGTAGTGTTGAATTGTTTTGATTTTGTTCCACCTCTTGAGACTACCACTTTTGAGTGTTCACATAAAAGACACTGTGCTTTTGACACATCATCTTCAAGAACTTTAAAGAATTCCCACACACTGCTCTTTCTCGCCATGTTATATAGCTACCTAGCTCAGAGCACGTGCGTTGAGTTGTCAAAGTATCGCATTAAATAATATTAGCTAAGGTTGAAAAAATGTAACACCAAAGATCTCTAAAAGTTGCTTTTTTGTGTATCAAGTTACCGTTTGTCGCAATTTGCATATCGCCCATTCGCCTGGCTGTCAAAAGAAATGTATGTTTTGATCATATGGCTGTGATCTTCGAATGCAAAATATCAAGAACAGAGTCAGAACCATTTTATGTTATAGCACATGTTATTTTGGTTGCAGCTATCATATATTAACTATTAAGAGTCGATTCATACATTGTTTTCGACAGCTTCGAATGGCAGACGATCACAAAAGTGTCAAAACTAAGGAAATATTCTGGGTTGACTAATTTGACTGAGTTGAGAGGAACTTGCGAACTGTATGCAAAAGTGTTATTAAGTGTATAGCAAATCACTATACTTTCGTGTGTTCTTTAGGAGTTTAGGCATTCAAATTTAAATGTTTGTTTATGAATTACAGGCTTGGTGTTATAGCGGCAGGTGTTATTAATTATAGCGTAATATATTATATTTTCCGTCGGGCGGAAAAGGTGAGATAGTTTTATTCTTAGTGTAAACATGTTTTCGAAACCTGCGAGAGTGTGAGTGCGATCTCGTGTTTGTGTGTCGCTGTGTGCTTAACCACTCGGCTATGAAAAATTAAATTTTTTAAAAATAATGCCAAAATGCCTTTATCGATCGATCAGTTATCCAGATGCATAATTTTTAAAAATGCGTATAGTAACATTGAAATCAAGGTGAATATGGAGATTTTAGAGTGCTAGCTTGATCTTAAAAAAAACAATCGGCAAACGGCCGATTATATGTTAACAATCGGCCGATTCCCGATTATTTTAAAATGGCTGATTATCGGCCGATTAATCGGCTGTGCCGATCAATCGGCTCATCCCTACTTTTGACAGCATGTTCCCACCACTCTTGCTGGCTAAATTAAAAGCATACAGTTTTGATGATCTGAGCCTCAAATTAATGTCATCATACTTTGAAAATCGCCAAGCTAGAGTCAAGTTGGGAAACACGACTAGTGGATGGAGGAATGTAGCAAGGGGGTGCCCTCAGGGGTCCTCATTTGGTCCACTTGTGTGGAATATGTTTCAGAATGACTTAGCCTATAAAGTGAAGTCAGATATTTCCATGTACGCAGACGATCACCAGTTTTTTGAAGCGAAAAAGGATATCAAGGTCATTGAAAACAGATTACAGGGGAGTGCACTGGTAGCAACTAGCTGGTACAAGGAGAACTGTCTGCAAGGAAACCTATCCAAATATGGATGTATGTTAATTAGTAAGAAGGGGCAGGGAGATATAAATATTGATATTGATGGAAACAGGGTCTCTTCTTATCAGAGCATCTGCCTGTTGGGAGTGACCATTGACAATCAGCTGACTTTTAAAGTGAGGTTTGTAAAAAGGCTGGTCAGAGAGTAGGAGTGCTAACGAGGTTGCAGAACATGATACCAACATCTGCTAAATTGCAGCTATATAAGGCTGCTATCATCCTGTATTTGACATACTGCAGTACAGTTTGGAATTTTTGTAGATGTAGTGATGCAAGGAAAGTGGAGAGGGTTCAGGAGAGGGCAGTCTTCTGTAACTGGAATGCAACCTATACGGAGCTGCTTGAATGGGCAGGCTTGCCCGTCTTAATGAATCGCAGGTTACAGGACATTGCTACTATGATGTTTATTATAAAGTGAAATTTAAGCAGTCTCCCAAATATATTGAAGATTTATTTTCAGTAAATAACACAGCATATAATTTAAGGGTTAAGGAATTTAATATCCCCTGTTTCTCCTCTGTAAGATATGGCAAGCACTACCTGAGATACCGAGGGCCTGTGCTATGGGCTAAATTGCCTGCTAGAGTAAGATCATCAACCTCATTGCCATGTTTCAAAAAAGCCGTTAGATGCTTAAATCTAACAGAGCTATTAGATGGCAACGGCTGTGAGGGCTGCTATACATGTACATATCAGTCATAACTGTTTTTAATTGGAAATACTGTATAAATTTAAATTAACTAAATTTTGTAAATAACTTTTAAACATATTTATCATTAATTAGTGTAGTATAGTATTTATTTATTTTTCTGTTGTGTCCTTATTTAGTGGTTTCAGTACTGCTATGTTTTAATTGACACCAGTGATTGCACTAAAGGTATCTCCCAGTAATAATTCATTGGTTTAGACATAACATGTGCGTTAAAAACAAAAAATGATGAATCAGTATATATACAGAGATTTCCACATTGCATTTAAATACTGTATACACAAAAAACACTTTCATGTTATTGTAAATCATTTTGGTATACTTTGTGCAAAAACAAATTTGAGGTTCTGGAATCCATGCAAAAAATTCTCACCAAGTCAGTCTTAATAACACTGCACATTTCCAAACTATTCAGGCATTGACTTACCTGTGTGTCTTATGAAGTTTACACCAAATGCATGAGTGGTCTGATGTTGCTCCCTTCATTCCACAAATTTCTAACAGAAACTGCAAACAGATTAATCTGAAATTTAGTTTTTGTTCATAAAAAATTGGATGGAATTAAGCACTTAACAGGGTTCAAATATATTGCAGTTACCTTATAAAACCACCAAGAAATAATTGAAGCATTATGTCATTTTCATCCACATTGATTTTTCCACTTCTCACAAAGTTGTTAATGGATGTGAACAACTGAGAACAAGACTTCCGTGATTTCACACCTCTCTTGTCCTTTGATTACAGCAAGTATGTTGTTACCTGTAAATCAATGGAAATATGTATTATATTATAACAAGACAAGAAAGTACCATAAATGCAGTACATTAATCCATTAGCTGGCCACTCTACCACTGATGAGTAAGGTTGTCTGGCATCAAACAGAGTGAAATACAAAAATAGGGATATATTTTCCTTTCAAAATGATATTTCCCTTTCAAAATCCAACTGGGCTCCCTCAGCCTCACCTGGTGTCCTCGTGATATGGACAATAGAATTCATATAATTTGCATTGCCTAACAAGATATGATCCAGGCAAATTTGCACCATTGGGTGCCACTGTCAGTTCATGATATGCTGCCTCCTCTCCAATGCAGAATTTGTCAGTGATGAACAGTGTCTGCTTGACCATCTCCTTCCTCTTCCCTCTGAAAGATCCTTGTATGATCTGCTTGCTGTTTCTTTCCTGGCCTTTGTACGACAATGTGTGGTAAACACCAGCATCATCTTTCACCTCTACAGCAGACAGGCTTACACGAAATGTCCTTCCAAACTATACTGCTTGCTCTATCTTGGATTTTAACTCATTCAGCTTTTGATACTTTTGACACCTCCCAACCTCAGAAATGTTTTTCTCCCCTGATTTGCCATGCTGAATTTCATCACTGCCTAGGCTTAGGTGTTTCACACTTTTCACAAAAACCATATAGTTTCACCCACGCTTTGTTGTTAATTTCTTGTTAGCTATGCTAGCCAACTTCCTAACCAGATTTTCCACCCTAGCACAATCTTCTTTCAGCAGTACAACACAGTGGCGGATTTAGAATCTCTCTAACCCCTCCTATAAAGGGTCAAACCCCACCAAAATTTCACTCTATCCCCTTTATTTTTTATGAAAGCCGTTAACAATTTTTTTAGCATCAAATGGTCAAAGAAAGAATGAAAGTATGGTACTTGAGCTTATAAATTCGAAATTATTGAATTATTACGATGATACGGCTGGCATTATTATTAATGTTAAGGTAACATTTTATTCCAATTCTGTACATGCACGCATCTTAAATAATACATGGCAAGCAAACATTTTAGAATTTGCCCGCTGAAACCTGAAATATAGAAACTAGAAACAATTCTAAAGTTCATACTGACAATTGCTAATATTGCTTAGTAAGTTTGGATTTAGTATATACTTTTGAAAGTTTTGCATCAGAAAATTTTTTAGATTTTGAAAAACTTCTGTATATGGCAGACCATTTTGATTGCTTGAATATCAATAGAACCTTATTGAAAACCGAAGCAAAGAAAGCAAAATATGACATTTCTCTTGGCTTGCCTATGCGAAGAAGAGGAATGGAAAACCTAATTAATGAAGCTGATTAATGTAAAAAACACTCTATCAACATCCTCTGCAAGTGTAGAAAGAGCATTCTCGGCTATGAATCGCATATGTACGAAGCTGAGGTCATCTCTGACCTTGGAACGATTAAGTGATTTGATGTGCATAACACTTAACAGAGATATTGCACTGAACTTGTAAAATCAAAAATTGTAAAATCACTGAAATGTCTGAGTTAACTGTACAGTAATCTTATTTTAGCCATACATTTATTTTTCACCCTCCAGTCACGGGGTCACCGGCTGCCGCCTGCTGCATTTTTGCAGCCGTAAAGGCGGACCTCCACTAGACAAATTTTAAGACGATCGTCTGAAAAATTCGCGACGAAAATGCGCAGTAGGGAATAAAATTCCTGCTGCGCATGTTCTTCATGAATTTTTCAGACGATCGTCTTAGAATTCGTCTAGTAAAGATCCGCCTTAACAGTGACACTGTGCCAGCATTTCATTGCCTGTAGCGGTTGGCAGTTGCCAGTTCTTCTACCCCTCCTGTTAAACAAATGAAAATCCGCCCTTGGTACAACATAACGCTCTTCTAGAAATCCATTTATGATTTTTACATATGATACCAGCTTTTCAAACAATCGTTATTTACAGAAATTCTGAAAGATATTTTGTTGTCCTCATCACAACGTTTTATTTGTTGTCCTCATCACAACGTTTTAAGGAAAAGCACACTAAAAACTTGGCGAAGTCGTACAATTTTTTATGAATATTCACAGTCGAATTTACATTTTCACATTTCGCGCTTTTTGCGGGAAGCTATGCGATTAGGCTACATAGAGTACCAGGAGTAAATAAGACTGATACTGGGTTAGTGTTCATGATCATTGATCTACATTTGAGGCTTCCCAACCTTTTCAGCAAATTAGTTTGGTTCAATGATAACACTAATGATTTCATTTTTCAATTTTCAGAACATGGTGCACCATAAACTAATAAGTTGACAAAATCTTGGAACCTTGGAAAGAGGGTTCGTAGTATGGAGTATCAATATTTATTACACTGTGTTAGCTTCTCTGAGAAACATGAGCTGCTAGTGTATTCACCGTATGTGATAAAGAGTGTACAATGGAATTTCAGCCTAGTGCTTACATGAGTTGGCAAAGTTGGGCATGTAATGAGCTTAATCAGGCTGCAACATACCTGTCACCGTATGCCAATGTACACAAAAATTATAATCACATTTGTGAGAAACATATTAAGACGTTAGGCACATTAATGAAGTCCTTCCTAGAGAAATTAAATAAGAATACTAGGCATGATAAAATGCTAGAATTTATGGCTGGCAATGGTATTTGACAGTTAGGTAAGGCATGTATTGGTGCTTTCGCTGAAAGAATTAGGCCAGATCTTTGCATTGTGAGATATTTATTTTCATATTCGTGTGTAAGCTCAAATCTGAGTGATTTTAAAGCAAACAAAGCTGCGTTTAATTCTAGCACATTGATGTGTGTATGTGTTTCTAACATATCCCAATTTCCCCCAGTCTTTATGGTTCTTAAGGCAGCACACCAGCCTTTCAATGATGCATCAGAATATACCACTATTTCTATTGGTGTTTTGATAATATTTCCAAAACAAGAATGAAGGTTGTTTAACCTCCATGTCAGTTCAATGTCTCCCTTCAGATGAAATGCTCATTAGGGAGTCATAATTGCCTCTACTGATTTAAAGGGCATAGGTTTTATCTCAATAATAATATAATGCACCATATCGGCTAGTTGGTAGGCTAGCAATCATGTGACCGATGATAATCTGGCCAACAGAATTGAATTAGGCCCTTGAGGTTATGAATCTTTTCAGTTGTTAGTGTAATTGTCATAGTCTTAGAATTTATGACAAAACCTAAGAAGGTCAATTTATGACATGGAATGAATATTGATTTATCTGGATGTATGACAAAGCCCAGTGATTTAAGCAATTTGACAGCTTCAATTACTCTATTCATATGCAGGTATCAAATGAATGACCTTGCAAGCATAAGTCATTGATATATGCAACAATTATATGACCATTTACGCTCAATCAAGCCAATGGTGGTTTTAGAAGTTTTGTAAATTTTCTTGGGAAAGTAGATAACCCATTTGGAAAAACATTTAACTGGTAAAGGTTGTTAGCATACCAAAATTTTATTTTTTTTTATACTTTTTTGGGCAATTTTGATACAATATGCATCCTTAAGGTGTATCCCCCTCCCCCTAGAAAATTAAATGCTAATTCACTTAATGTATTATGATTGGCACCCCCTCACTGATTTTTTTTACAGCCACACTCCCCCACGCTGGTGTAAAATCTGAAATTCTGTCCCTGCATTGAACATGAGAAAAAAATGTGGACTTAATTTTCCTACTTTGGTGACAGCAAACAAGTCATATTTGACAGCAAACGAGTCACCTCCAGGCTAGAATCTCCCTTTTCAGTCCAAAGCAAGCTTCTCTTTTCCGCGGTCCGCTGAAAGGGACGCAGGAAAACCGCCTGGAAGTTGTTTACCGAAAATTTTTGAGGAAAATGATCAGAGGTGGTAATGCGAGGTACAGAGAAAATAATCCAGAATGCAAAAACCTGTATGTGCTCAAAGTCGGCAACGAAAAGCTCTATGAAATCACGAAAACCACAACCATAGAATCCTTCATTGACAAGCAATTTCTAAATAAATAGCCCATGTGACACAAATGAAAAACAACAGTATTCTATTTACACTAGTCTTACCTGCACTCTTTGAGGTATGGACATCTGGAGGCTACAATTACTCCAACCTCGTGTACCCAGGGCTCTTACGTTGTTTTTACTCGCTGCGGAGGGAAGAGCCCTGGCAAACTCTGCTCACGTGATTTCAAAATACGGAATAATTAAATAGTTTGTAAATTTCTAATCCTGGGGGGAGGAATTCAGGAGCGAAAGCATTTAATAAATATGGCGAAGCTACTATGACTAAAAAGTGAAAAAGCACTCGCATATTTTCTTGTTTATCTCCGCAACGGGTAATACACAGCTACGAGATTTCTTCCAGCAAGACACAATGCCTTTAACCAAGACTATAACCTCAAGACGAGTTTGATAACAGCGTGAATCGAACCGGTAGTACAAATAAAAGTCGAAGTGTTGAAAATTGGCATAGCTGTGTCGGTGTCAAATATACTGACAACATACAACGTATGTACGCAAATGGTACATCATGACAGTGTAAACATATAGCAGATATATCTCATTTGTTTTTGTCTGTCCAAACTCCAAAGCCCATTAGGATTTATGTTTTGATTATCTATGAGGCAGTGACCTAAAATCTATTATGTTACTTAAGTGTAGTGTCTTATAATCCCTGTTTAAATACTGGACAAATCGCTGATTTTCCCCTCATAATCATTATTTGCAGTCTCCTAAATAATACGTACTTCATGATATGTTATACAGGCTTTTGTTAGATAATAACTCCATACTTATTAAGCTATATACAGTATGTTTATATAATTGGTGTATATATATAATATATATAATATTGATAACTGCATATTAATGTATTAATTTTAAAATATTAATGTAGCAATAAAGTTAATACAAACAAATTTGTTGTAAAAATCAATAATTTTGGTCAAACACATTGATAATTACAATAAATTATCAGGTATTAAATGTATCTAATATAGAACTAGCAAATGATTCTGAGTAAGTTCCAATGTAACTGTACCAGTAATCATTTTAATGCTGTATAACAAAAGTTTGTTTTCACAAATATTTTCAATTATCTCAAAAAAGGAATGTGCATGCTCTATGTCCCAAATTTCAAATCTTGAGTACATCTCTTCAGCTGACTTAACATTGTCACATTCAGAAACTATTGATTCAATGAGTTCTAATGTTACACCTGTACGGGTGTCAATACTTCCAATCCGACAACCAGTTTTTCCCAACTTCAGCCTATAATCCTTCATTTGTTTTCTTATCTTACCACGCTGTGCATCAGAGACACTGCGAAGCAGAGGTTTTGGTTCATGTTCCTGAAAACCATATGGTAACTCCACTGGATCTTGTTTGCAATTCAGGCACATGCACATTCTTGAGCAATTGATGCAGCAAGAGTGTTGTTGTATACACTTATCTTTTGATGCTAATGGAGCAGGCGATCCTAAGTAGTCCAAGACTATCTTCCTTAAGCATACATCTTCTTGTGAACAAAAATCGCGCATCGCAGTTGTCATGCCAGGTTTACTATGTGAAATGTCGTGCCCGTTGTAATATAGGGATGCCTTTGCTGGCTTCCCATCCCTCCCCGCGCTGCCTATTTCTTGATAATACGACTCTATTGTTCCAGGCACGGATATATGAACAACGTGTCTAACGTCAAGAATGTTAACGCCAATCCCTATTGCAACTGTTGCAAAAATAACACGAATAGATCTTGATTCGTTTGGCCCTTGCAGTTGTTTCAAGATTTCATTTTTCATTTGCTCAGTTTGAGGAGCATGAAATTGCGCGAATAGACAATTCTCAGGCTTCTTATCTCCAGGAGGAAAGTAATTCTTTTCGCGCAAAATATCTTAAAACAATCTAAACGCATAACCACACCACTTCAGTGGCAAATATATTAACGTTAGTGGATAGTCCTTTAAAAGAGTGTTTAAATCGTTCGCAATAGGAGCCAGGATTGCTTTAAAACTCTCTTCACCTGTTGATGACGGCAATCGTTTCTCCTTGCTAATGAAGATATTGGATCGATCCAAATTAGCAACAACTACTTTGGGTTTACTAAGCACAAGTGTGTTTTTTAGCGCTTCAATTACATGTTTAGGTGCTGTTGCAGTGAGGACTAACAATGGTGCAGCAGGAAAAAGCAAACCTAATTGGAATAATTTTGCAAAATCCTTACGAAATTCCACTCCCCATTCCTCAACAAGGTGTCCTTCATCAATTACACACGCTATAACGTTCTGCTGAAGTACTTTAGATAAGAGAAGTCGCCTCCCTTCTTTACAAGAAATGAATGCTTCAGGATGAGCGAATAGAATCTTGAACATTCCTTCTTTAATGTTTTCTTTAGTTGTACTGTTAACTGAAAGTTCTGCCACATGTACATTATCTTCACAAATGTCAGTTGTAGCGGCCTCAGCGTTGCATTCTACATCACTTTCCTTTTTGCTATGGCTCTTGCTAACCGTTTTTAAAATTGCTGCTTGAACCCCTTGCTCTTGTAGAATGGTGATCTGGTTATCAATTAAAGCATTCACAGGGGTAATTACCAGAACAATGTTACCATGCGTTGTAGTATTTCCTTTTCTTACATGTATGCTTGTGTTTAGATAGTCTGCCACGTATGGAAGAATATGGAAAATGACTGATTTCCCATAGCCAGTAGGGAGAATTCCGATGGTGTCTCTCTTTTTCACCAAAATTGATTCTAATATTTGGTACTGTTTAACTTTAAAAAATAAATTGCTATAATTTGTTACGCTTAAAGCGTAGTTTATAGCATTAAAAAATCGGCTCAATGAACACATAATATATATATTTGCTTTTCTCACAGTATAAACCATAGTTGAAAGGCACACGCCGATATTTTATTTTTAGACAGTGAGTGCAGTCATAACTATTTAAAGACATTACAGCTATTAATTATATCAAAAGCTTTCTTGCATCTCAGAGACAGAGTTATATATATTTAAACTGCGATATGTCTACTTCGGAACTTACTCCGCGAAAACAGTATTATAAATGGAAGAATGTCGATTTTTGTTGTGTTTGTGGCGAAGATAAATCGTCCGGTAGGTTTACGAAGATTTTCAGCACTGTTGGTAAGAAAAAGAAGTTATGCGAACAAATATATTTGCTAACAAACTTTGTATTGGAAGAATCCAATAACAACGCACAATTTTTGAAAGTTTGCCGATCATGTGAAGGGAAGCTCGCTAAAACAGCTGATTTTAAAACATCTGCGATTTCTACGCTTCAAAGCATTCGGGAAAAGGGATCATCGAAAAGATGTTTAACGTTTTCTCCAGATAAGTCCGTATCACCGACAGAGAAGAGAGTCAATACATGCGAAGAACCTATAGGTGAAGCAAATCAGGTGGCAATGAATGTTGTTGATTCCATCCCTAATGTGGAGGTATATCTATATTTATTACTGATAATATACAGTGTTTATTGAGGAATCTCAATTGAGAAAGCAGTATTAGGAGTCGTGGCGGGAAAATTCTTGGTGGGAAAAAAGTTCGTCATATTATAACATAGGATAGACACTGAAACCTTTGACACTTTAGCCTGATAGATTTGCCTTCCTATATACTAACCTCTTGGTTGAGAATCTATAACAGATATCTAAAAATTAGAAATAATATTCGGAACTTGTTAAAACAGTTTAACAATCATATTTTTTGTTACTATTTCTCAATTTTCTGTATGTGAAGGCTTGGTCAAACGGTCGCAGCATTTTGTTGCATCATCACATGCAATGTGGTTGGTAGTTGCGCGTTGTTTTAGTCATAATTATTCGACCAGACTGGTCAAACCCTACCAACTTTTCATCTTTAACATATTGCCAACGCCTGACGCGCATGCCCAACAACAGCAATGTTGTAGTAAAGTGGTCAAACGGTCACAACTCCAGAAATTTTGACAAATTATCATTATTATATGTTATCGTTAATGTTTGACAGGAGTCAAACCCGATGCAACATGTCCTAACATCATGCAACAATCGGAAAAAGGGTGCATGGTCAAACGATCGCAACATTTTGTTGGAACATTGTTGGACGATGTTGCGACAAAATGTTGCGACCGTTTGACCATGCAAGGCTTAAAAAATCAATAAAATGTTATAATTTGTAACAATTAGAATTATATTTCGTTATGGTATAGGATTTAAATGGACCAGATGAAGTTTCTTTGAGCATGCAAGACATGATAGAAATTCGACAAGCGTTAGATACTGCAGTGCCAAGAAATATAATCGACGTAGTGGCATCGATTGATTCGTTGACACATAGTTTCAAGGACAAAATTCTTTATGAACTTGACGAGCAGTGTAGAAACCTCTGTATGAAAAGCGAACCATCTGTACTACGGAAAAACAGTTTCCACGTTATGGCTTCATTTGATTGGCCAAAAATTGCATCTGAGATGTCTAGTCGTTGCCCATTTTTACTTGAGTTGCTCCTCACAGTCATGAATATATCTGAGGATGAATTAAGTGAGTTTCTTCCAAGAATTAGTGTTTGTTACTCAATTTTGATGCAGACAAGGAATCGAGAGCTAAGTTTGGTTCAACAACTGAACACTGTATTGATGACGAATGGAAACGCAAAGAAAGAGGTATACTATATATATATAAAATATGCATATACAGTAATTATAATTATAACCGACACCATAGATACAGACCTTACCTGTGTTCACAATTTCTAAAGAAATACCATAAAGGCTGTTTTCCACTTACGCGTTTTTCATACGCACGCACGTAAAGTCTAAATCCTTATACATGTTACCTTTGAAAAACTAAATGAATAAATCGAAGGAACTTAATGCATATTTTAGTATGCATTAGTATACCTAGATGTTAAATAATAAAAATTTAAAAGCATTTAAAATTTTCCGTACGTGTACCTTCGTATAAAAAACGCGTAAGTCAGTGGAAAGCAGCCTTAACTAGAAAGCAGCCCTAATACGTGTTGTGCGATTTTTATACTTAGTTTGATTTTAAATAACAAAGTCAAGGGAATTAAAAACAAAATTTTAACTGCCAGTATTTTACAGTAATATAGGTTTATATTGACTACATGACACTTTTCTAAATAACCGATCGGTAAAAAGGATTAAATTGCGATTCCGGCATTCGAATTGCCCAAGATAACGTAATGAAAGATTATAAAGCATTTTAACATTCTCATGCCAATAACAAAATCAAACTGATTATGGTTTTACTCACTTTCTGTTTGAAGTTGTTAAATTTAGATAATATTCTCTAAATGTCAACCATGCAGCAATATGTAATAGCAAGTGTCATGCATGATCACGTTCGACGAACATTCTTGACGTCATCAATTGACGGGCAGTCGTCCAGACCAGATCAACCAGGGGCACACTTCAATAAATTAGATGAAAATGACCACATGAAAGCTGTATCAGTTCCATTTGGAGGAGATCAAATGACCCGCGTGAGATTTGCTGGTGCAAAAGACTTGCGGGCAGGATCACATACAGCAAAGGCACGACTGGATCACTGCAGTCCATTTGTTTCTGAGTTATTTCACACCAAAATGTCCTACCTGCAGGTATATAAAAGTAGAAAGTCAAGTAATTATATATAGTTGGTGAAAGATCATTGACATAGCCCATAGCTAACTTGATAATTGGGGTATACCTATTCATATACATTCATGTTTTGCAGTAATCTCTTTTGAAATTGATTACCATTGATAATCCATAAAATTGCTTTTATCAATAAAGCAACTGTTTCATAGGACACCTTGAACCTAATAGGCTGACCTGTTTAATAATTACAGAAATAACTGCACCATGCCCCTGAACATTTTATTCTTTCTCTATGTGTGTTGTTTATAGTTTATAGGGTTTCAAACACAGATGAAATATTAAACTATATAATGTACTGTACATGTATGTTCAATATAATTTTGTGTTTTTTAGTTTGTCTACAATCTCCTTCACAACTCTGGTTCTGTAAGAGAAATTGGTACCTTGAAATACTTCAAAGAGAAATATAATCGATTAAATGTGACACCTCAAAAGGTTACAAATTCATATGAGGGTTCAGAGCAGTTCTTATTGTGTGTTGGGAAAGCATACATTCTGGAAGCTGCAATGGAGTTTTGGGTACTGAAAGATGTGAATGGTCCTCCAACAAAACACATACCACCACATGGAATCATGCATATGGAGAGAGAAAAAAAGATGGAACATTTTGACAGAGTCATCAGTGCATTTGTTGATGAGTTTGTTATCCCAGACCCTGAGAAAGAAAACCCTAATCATACTGATGTTGACAGGCTTGTATTTGGTGATGATGAACATTATCAAGATACTGAGCCAGATAGAATCAGGTATATACAATTTTGTTAGCTACAATATGGTACTCTGCCATCATAATGTCATCTACTAATTCACCAGTAAGGTGGGTTTAATAACAAGATTAATTAAATTAATGCACACTTGTGCACAATGCTTGCATTGATATTTATATAATCACCATGGTACTATTAATATTTAATAATATTTTTAACTAATATTTTTAACTAATGTAAGTACTTCACCAAAAAAGTTTTATCTTATGTTGGCAGGTTTTATGGTTTAAACATAATACAGTTAGCTGTCTTCTTGATGCAACTTATCGATACATGCAAAGAAGGAGATGGTTTGAGGAATAACATCAACAAAAAGCTATTACTATTATATTTTAAATCAGCAAATTCCCATAACTACGCACTGGAAATGTTCACAAGTATTGCCCAAATTGAAGCTATTGCATCAGAGGAAATGGCACATAGGCTCACATGGGGACGATTTGTAAACTGGCATGGCGGTAAAGGGAGGAATATTTCTTGTGACATGGCACAAGAAATATGTAACAGAGTAAGCAAAGATGTCATTGAAGCAATGGGGCCAAATAAAACACCAAAGGCCATCATAAGGGCATCCAAAGCAGCAGCTGGTGTTCAGCAGATTGTAAAAAGAGTTAACAAGATATCACACATTTCAAGAGTGTCACAAGTGCACAGTCACAAAAGTTCGACAGAAGATGAAATGATGATGCTAAAAGATTTGAGAAAGATAAAGCCATTTGAGAGGAAACCAGGAAGAAAGCATACCCATTTTGAAGAAATTCAAGTTTCACAAACTAGTGGATTAGACATGAAAAACCTTTTCATTTGGCTTGAAAAACACAAGAAACTGATTGCAATGGGTCAAAAATAATTTGCATGTCCCGCAAGGCGATGGCATTACCAGGTAGTTAGTATTAAATGAGAAAGTATATACAGCTACGGAGCTACCAGATACTTCATGAAAGACAAAAAGTAAACCAATTCTTGACACATGTAAATTGTATTTGTTCAAAGGGTCTTAATTTTGAGTGCAGTCATACACATTTCAAATTCAAGCCAGGAAAAGTTGAGAAACATGAGTCAACTATTGGTCCTCCGGCAGGAATCAAACCTACACTTTGGCGATGCCGGTGCAATGTTCTTAGGCACACTGAGCTAGAGGTAGCTGACAAGAGCAAGCGTGGTCAATGTGTATTTAAGATGATAATGCCGAAAGCAGGTGAGCATAAATGAATTATGATTTTGTGGCACTTCACTCAATGTAGAGGTACAAATTAAGGGACTTAATTTCCAGTGTGTATAATTCCACTCGAAATTAAGAACCTTTGAACCTCTACAATCCTTGGCGCGTCTAGTTAAGGCCCTTTATTTAGAAGAGAAATATAGAATGATTACGAAAAAATATGACGCTTTTCTATACGAGATAAACTGTTTATATAAAATTACCTTCAGTCTTCACGTGCTTCGCCAGTATATTAAAACTTGAGAACCAAAATTCACGAAACATTCCATTCAAAAATGAAAAATGTTACCCCATCAAATAAC